AATCCAAGTGAATCTTTCTCCTCTGCTCTGCTAATTGATTAAAGCCCTGTTTCGATTTTTTTTTTCTGGGGGGGAATTTTTAAATACCTGGGGAAGTAAGAAAGCGGGGAATCTTGATGATCAACCAGTTTGATTTCATCGCCGAATTTCATGTCTGCAATTCTCAGTGAATTGTTCCTTTCCGGTTGTATGATAAATTCCACATACAGGCGGAGAACCCATTTGGTGCAATCTTTCTCTGTCGTGTTCCTCTACTGGTTTTACTACATTTCATGATTAGTTTCCTTCTTGATCCGAAATTATTAATCAACTCCCATACATATAAATAAAATCCCAAAAAAAAAACCAAAACTTTAATTTAGTTAAACAATACCCATATTTTTAATTACCCATATTTCTCTGTTTGTTCTGGAAATCGGGTTCTTGCTTGTGGTGGTTGTTGTCAGAGTGAGAGTGATGATGATGATGATGGCGGCGTGCAGTGGGACGTCATCGCCGGGATCGAGTGTGCTGCAGAGCAATTCCGGGTCGTCGGAGGAGGATCTCCGGCAGGTGATGGACCAGAGGAAGAGGAAGAGGATGATATCGAACCGGGAATCGGCGAGGAGGTCGCGGATGCGGAAGCAGAAACACCTGGACGATCTGACGGCGCAGGTGGCTCAGCTGAGGAAGGAGAACGCCCAGATCTTGTCCTACATGAACGCCTCCACCCAGCGGTACCTCAACGCCGAGGCGGAGAATTCCATTCTCAAGGCGCAGGTGGCCGAGTTGACCCACCGCCTGGAATCGCTGAATGAGATCGCGGATTTCTTGAACAATCCTCTTCCGCCTCCTCCGGACAGTTGCGGCGGCGGGTTTGGGTTTCCCGGCGAACAGGGCGCGTACAATGACGGCGTTTTCCTGGGGCAGAACGAGTCTCCTCCGGTGTTTAACGACGGGTTTTTCGTGAACAATAACTCGTGGAATTTCATGGTGGCCAACCAGCCCATTATGACGCCTGCCTCTGCAGACATTTTGCAGTACTGATGATCAAATTATTGGAGGCAGAGAGAGAGAGAGAAAGAAAGGGAGAGAGAAATGTGTCTGTATTGGGGTCATCAATGATTCTTGATTAAGGAAGGAATAAAAATGCTTGTCTTTTTGGTCTGAATTTGATGCATGTAGGTGGTGGGCGGGTTTAACGTTGTATTTTATTGGATTATACTCCCTCCGTCCGCCTAAGATGTTCTCATTTTGACTTTTGGTAGTTTTTAAAGAGAGTTGAAAAAAAGTGAAAGTTTACCATAATACCCTTAATGAAAAATGGGTGGAGTGTATTAAATGAGGTGGGTGAGGTGTAATAAATAAAGTAAGTAGGGATAGTTGTGGTATTTTACTTGTTAAAAAATGAAATGAGAAGATCTATTGTGGACAAAGAAAAAGGGCTATCGGGAAGATCTATGGTGGACAGAGGGAGTATATTAAGTCTATGTAATTATTATGGATGGTTTTAATGTTTTCTTAGTCATAATCATCTTCTATTGTGTTAGGTTGTGCAAACACTCCATCTAATTAGTACATTATCCCGATTTAAAAAACATAAAAAGTTAAAACAAATCATCCAAGATAGTGTAAAATAATAAGAAGTTTTATGTTTATTTTTAAAATAATACTCCGTATTATACGGAGTATAACATTGTATATTGTCATTCTTTAATATTTTTTGGTGTTACATTTATCACTATTAACATGGAATGAGGCAGTACGAAAATATGTACCTAAATAGGAGTCGTAAGTTTTTTAAGACCAACATAAGAATATAATGGCAGTGTGATACTCCCTCCGTCCCTGAAAACATTTCTCCTTTCTTTTTTCATCCGTCCCAAAAAACATTTCTCATTTCTATTAAAAAGTCACTTTTACTCCTTACTTTTTCATACCCTACCTATCACATCATACCTTTTTACTAATAATCTATCCATTAAATCATACTTTTACCCATCACATCAAAAGACATTTTTGAAAATTCAATACTAAAATACACGCTCCTTAAATCCCTCTTCAAAATCAAAACTCCCATGTTTTCTGGAACGGAGGGAGTATAAGGGTACGCATTTCCAGTCAGATAAAAAATTGATGACAGTTTAATATGAATGTGTGATCAATTAGCCGTTGATGATCGGCCATGACACACTAGTGGCGACGGCGACGGATGACAATGTGGCAGTGATGGTGTGACAGTTTTAAAGTGATAATGTGATGAGTGTGACAGTGTAACAATGACAATGTGAACTCTTATTTTGATCTTAAAAGGTATAGAATTTTTATTTTGATATTTTCATTACTTTTTACTTTAATCTTGAAATTTCTCTCCTGAAATAAGAGTTAAAGTTAGTACTTTTCATACATTCTCAACTTATTAAAACTCATAGAGTTATCTTCCTCACTAAAAATTAAAGACATGACTTTTCATATAGAAGTGTCATTGCCATGCCATTAGACTACATGATCCTTAGACATTTTGTTGACTTAATATTCGTTGTTCTTCAATTCCTTTATACGAGTATCTCTAGACTTTTTTTTTTGGTAACTTGGCAAGATAAATTGAGTACAGTACTGAGATTTTGTAAATTTTATGACTCTAGCAAAACTTTTGTGAATTATCAGTGCTTGTCAGAATCTGTATGCTTGGAACGGTATATATTCTACCGCTATTCCCAAATTAATTTACTCCTTTTACAATGTTCAAAAAGAGTGCCTCCATGGGGACTTAGAGCACTAGGTATGCATGTAACGCCGACCGGCGGTAGGGCCGTTTTAACGCCCCGAGGTCGTTAAACACCGCCCCCGGCGGCGTTACCCGGGCGTCACATGCCCTGCGTCAAAGGAATGACGCTTCGTCATTCTCTTCCCCTCCCCCCTTTAACGGCTATAATAGCCGTTGGACCCAAAAAAAGAAATTTTTTTTCCTTATAAATTCAAACCCCCCCTCCCAATCTCTCACACCTTCCTTCTTCACTCTTCTTCAATCTTCTTCTTCCCATATTTTAAATTTCGAAATCACCCCTCTCTTTTTAACATGAATCCTTCCGGCTCCGGCTTCTTTCCCGACAATCTCTCGCCAAGCGACGCCGCGGTGTGGTATTACCAAGAGTGGGGCGATCAATCGCCGATCTACGAGACGCAACAATCGGGGTATGTCGAGCGAGATTCGGTTCCGGAGACTCAACCGGAACCGACCGGGTCGAAAAAAAGTACACGCCAGAAAAGCCACAAAGCCAAAGGCACGATGACCGAGGCGGCACGGTCAATCCAAAAGTGGACGCCGGAGGAGGAGTGCTTATTGGCGTCGGCTTGGGTTGACGTCTCCGAGCATCCTATCATTGGTAAAAAATTTATTTTTTCTAATATATTTATGTTTTTATTTATATATATTATATTTAATTGTGTCTAAAAAAAATTGTTTTATACATTTTTAAAGGTTCGGAGCAAACGAAGGATGCGATGTGGGATCGTATCGAGGAGAAGTTCTTCACTGCGATGAACAAGGACGGCTCCTACCGAACCCGGGACAAACTCACTTCCAAATGGAGCCACATCAACCGTAAAGTCCGAAAATTTATTGGAGTTTACAAGGAATGCTCCCGGTCCCGGAGGAGCGGGACGAACAACGCCGATGTTCTCCGACTTGCCACGGCCCGGTATCAAGACGACGGGCACCAAGGCAAGGTGCCCATCGATCTTTAGAGGATTTTGAGCCGTTCTCCGAAGTGGCAACAACTCAATAATCCCGACGGCGGATCGTTCCGGAAAAGATCCTCCGTCGACGCCGAGGTTGAGGTGGACGAGACTATCGGTTCGACCGATCAAATCCCTCCCTTCAACGTTGCGGATTCCGATGACGAGGACCCCATTCCACGGCCGATCGGAAGAAAGAAGGCAAAATCCATTGCCTCGGGTTCGGGAGGGTCCAGCTCTGTTTCTGTTTCTTCTCGCGATGAAATCGGCTGGGAAATGGTTGAACAACTTCGGGCATTCAATCTCCGAGAATAAGAGAGGTTGAAGCTAAATGAGAAGGAGTTGAAGCTAAAGGAGCAGGAGGCCGAGATGAAAGTCATGGAAACCGACCTTTCTACGTTGTCGGAGATTGGACGAATGATCTACGAGCAAAGAATAAGAGAGATCAAGGAGAAATATAATTTTCCTTAGTTTTTTTATTAATGTATCTTTTTTTATTATTGTCGCTTTTTTTATTTAATGAATGTATTTTTTTTATTATTCGTGTTTCAATATAATTAAATAATAATTTAATTACATTTTATTAATTTAATTTTAGAAGATGTATATTTAAAAATGTAAAAAATGAAGGTTTGAAGCTCCAGTTTGAAGCCCCGGGGCTTCAAACCCATTTCCAGTGAATTTTGGGTGTAAGTTAAAGCTGACGTGGCAGAGAGAGAATGTTTGAAGTCCCGGGGCTTCAAACGTATTTCCAGTGCCACATTACGGGTAAGCGTGGTGCGGTATGGTACGATATTTGATTCGTATCGATACTGTACCAAATATTTTGGTTCGCTATGAGATTTCACATCGTACCAATCCCGAAGCATCGGTTTGGTATGGTTTGGGATGGTTCGATTTTGGTTTCGGTAAATATTACACTTTAAAATATACAAAACTCTTAAATTTTAAAAATTGAAAGTATATACCAAATAAATAAAGATAAAAAATTTAGAAAAATGAATAATTAAATGTAAGAAGTGTTTATAAAATTTAATTTAATTTATAATTCGTATTTCACAAAAAAAGAGAACAAATGATAACAAAATAATATTTCAAATGTGTGTTAACTTTTTTATATTCATGTACCAAAAAATTAAAAATCAAATAAATGATTATTTAAATAGAAGATTGTTTGCAATTCATCTACACTTGAACAAACTTTTCAAAATCAATCTATTATTTAATGTAGAACTATAAAAATATTACTCCCTCCGTCCCACTTTCTTTGTCCACTTACCTTTTGGCACACCATCCAATGCACTTCTTTAATCCATTTTATCTTGTAATTTGTATATTAAAAAATTATAGAAATTATATATTAATAATCTATATGTTAAGACAAATCAAACAAGATCACACATGACTATATTTAGGCTTACACATTGAGAGAATTTGATGAGTCAAAGTACTTAGATGAACAATTCCAAAAGTCAAAAGTGGACAAAGAGAGTGGGACGGAGGTAGTAATATTTTTATAACATATTTGTATATATATTCGGTTAGGGATTTTTTACTATGGGAAGTTACCTCGTACCGATCCCAAATACCAGACCAACCATTCGGTTTGGTATGGTACATTTCTTTTTCGGTACTTTATCGCATCTGATGGTGTGAATTATCACCCGAAAAATTACTTTGGATTGGGTCTAGGGTGCTTTATTAAGTTTAGAAACCGAAAGAACTCGAGAAATAGAAATTGACCAAGAGGACTATAGGTGAGGGCACCTGTAGTCTAATTGTTATTAAGTATTGGAAGAGTACATGGAGAAATTACATAATACATGCACTTCTAAAGAGATAAAGTTCGGACCCCTTCATTTGAGGGCTACAAAGGTACTTATAGGGGGTAGTTACTCACCCCTACTAAACACTAAACCATGATTAAAAATAAATATCTTGATTAAATTGATGATTATGAAAATGATATTGATTATTAAGGTTATCTAGAAAAACTCTAAGATAGACTCCATGTGACTTAATTAGTGTGAGTCTTGCAGGTATGATATCTGGTGTCCTGGGTAAAAACGTATGTACAGGATCCGCAAAACAAACTAGAGGATAACTCGTTTGGGATACCACCCACCTGACAGTGAGTAGTTCGTTGTTCGGTTTGAGCATCGCCTATATGACTTGTAGGATAGGTCATCAGTTCTTGTGTTTTTCCTTAGACTAAGAATAGTTTAAGAGCTTGTGATCAATATGAATTTGGCCTTAGAGTGAAAATAGTTTAAGAGTATTGTTATGATTTTGCCTTAGATTAAAAATAGTTTAATAACACGATTGACATTATGAATATTAAATATTTAGATTGAATATTATGTGCATGATATCAAATTATTTGATTATGAATTGAGATTCAATTTATGTGAATGTCCGATGCATTAGTTATCCTTACCCAGCTTCACTGTTGAGCATGTAGTATATTTTATTTGCTACACGCATATAAACAGAAAGAATGATGTGACGTGATCCTGGTAGTGAACGGGGATGAGATGTCGAGATGGATTGTGATGGTTATGAACTATTTAATAATAAATTTAAAAGAAATGAATTCTTTATATTTTGTGATTGTGATGTGAAACTATATCTTTAAAGCTTCTGCAATTTGATAAACCTCCGTTACTATTTCTGTAATAAGTATTTTGTGATGAAATAAAAGTGTTTGAAATGTTTTAAATTTTACAATTACCAAATTAATACTTAAGTCCAAAAGGGGCTAAAAACCTAGATAAATTAGGGTGTTACAGTACGAGAACGGTGGTTTATTTGTGTGTTTTTGTGATTATTTGATAAAATTAAATATTCGTGCCATATCTTATTTCGCAGAACTTTTGATGTAGTTTTCTAATAAGTAATTTATTTCTTATTCATGTACCAATTTGTGAAATTGGTACAAAAATTTGTAAACTTTTGATGTAATTTTTTTATTTCTTATTGATGTACCAAAATTGGTCTAGTTCTAGTATATCCTTTAATTAATCCTTTTATCCCTAAATAAATTACTTTCTTTGATTAACACGAAAAATCTATTGAATTTTAAAATTATTTTGTTTATAAATTTTAAAAATAAAAGTTTTATATTTAAAAACTAAATAGTATATTTTATAAAATAAGAGGTGACAAGAATATTTTATTTTATCAAATTAAATTAATAATAATAATAATAATAATAAGAAAACAAAATACAGTACAAGGTGCACAATTACACGCAAACTTCGGTGCTGATGGGAAATGTTTGCAGGTACCTCACCATTTGGGGATTTAATTCCCGATCATTGAGGGAAACACAAAAGCATTCCCGTTCAGTGTCTGTCAAAGTAAATCAGAGTTTAACGGTACACCTCTATCGTTAAGCCACAAAATAATTTATTACGGGTGGGTGACCATCCATCTTTCCCCATCTAAACCCCATTTTTACACATTCAAGTAGGCCAGGAGCAGCGAAGAGAGAACAGCACCCCAAGCCGTCCCTCACCGTCCGTCACCAACCGCCAGCCTCCATCGTCATTCGTCGGTTAACGGTACCCATTCTACCGTTTTTTTAATTTATTTCAAAAATCTCTAGTTTAAGCTTATATGATCTAATTATTAGTAAATTAGATTAGATCTAAATTGAGAATTTAGAAAATTGAAATGTTTACAAGATATCCGAAAATATATGTTGAAGTAACTTAAAAAATTTTTAATGATATATTTGTGAATTTTTTCATAGTGCATCGCATATTTTTGATTTGTCGTATTCATAGACTAAAGATTTTAATTTTGTAGAATAATGAATTTTCAAAGAACGAACGTCCATCCAAAACCAATTGTCCACGATATACTAGTCCTTGCACCTGGCGAACATCGTTGTGATACGGTGTGGCAAGATCGTGAGTTTGGGGATGTGCCGGTGAAATATGTTAATTTTTTGGTAGCTTGAGGGAAGGGTTTGGTGTGGAGCGTCATCCACAAGTTGTGGAGAATTTGCATGATTATGGATTTTACGGGGTACAAAGGATTGCTAAGTTACGAATCGGTTGGGCTTTGCAATTGATTACTGCCTTAGTCAAGATATGGAGGTCGGAGACCCATGCCTTTCATCTTCCGTTTGAAGAGGTTGGGATCATATTACAGGATGTAGAAGTCCTACTTGGTCTCCCCGTAGATGGCACCGCTATTGTTGGTTCGTGTGGCAACACGAAAGAGTATTGGGTGCAATTGTATGATGATATGATGGGGTTTAGGCCATCTTTAGAGGATTTGAGCAAGACGCAAATCAGAATGAATGCGATCGTACTCATTCCTGTTGGTGATCATAATGCGGAGGTTGACTTTTTGCAGCATGCTCGGGCCTTGATGTTGAAGGTTATGGGTGGTGCTTTGTTCTCTAGCACGACGGGTAACAAGGTGAACTTGTGCCTTTTGGAGTTGCTCGCTGGCACGGTGCAAGATCTGCGAAGTCTCGCTATAGGCACCGAGGCATTGGCTTGCCTTTATAGTATTTTGTGTCATGCAGCTCTATCGGAGACTACACAAATCGGCGGCCCTCTCATTCTTATACAGACTTGGGCATGGGAGCGCATCCTGATGTGTAGACCAAAGGGCGTAGTTCCACCTGAATATGGGATAGATGCACCGTATGGGGCCATGTAATTTTATCTATGAATTCTTTTTTTACCATTATTGGAGTACTGTAGTACTTAATCTTTAATATTTTTCTTCACAGGTGGTTCTGTTATCATCGTTGGACAGTTTCACCGTCTCATTCCATTCGTCCGTACAAGGACCAATTAGGCATGCTACAGGAAAGAGATATAGTCAATCCATTCTATTATTCACATTTTGTTATGTTAATCGAAGTAGTGTTATAGATTGTTTTATTTGCTTTTCTATATAGTTCATTTGGATGCCATACCCGGTTCGCAACATTTGCATCTTCATTGCATCACCGGGATCGCAATATGGTGTGCACGTGTTCCGTTGATATACACGTATATGGTGGAGATGTATTACCCAGATCGGTTCTGTCTCCAGTTCGGTGGACTCCAGGATACCCCTTAGGCTGTGGATTATGATCGTGAGTTGCACGCCGTCAGGACCACCACAGGGACCATGGCTTCTAGGACGACACATTTTCTAGAGGAGTGGGAAGTCCGACAACAGAGTGTTTTGGAGATTGACCTTGATCATCACGGATACACTAATGCATATCGACAGTGGTATTACCTATATGGTAGACGCATTATATGCAACCCGACACATGACCACGTTTTTGTCACTGGATATGTCCCTGTCAATCTGGATGTTCATTGCCTGGTATGCACTTTCCTTTATTAGTAACATTTTTAAATTATATAAATTAAAGTGTTTTTTATTTTAAAATAATTTCTTTATATGTACAGCTTTACAGTTTGCTGGACATTTCACAACGAACAAGCCAAACAGATGTAGAGCAACCTGAACAAGGTTAGGACCTCTACACATTTGTGCAAGACGTACATCATCAGACAGTGCAGTCCATCCGTGAAGCCGGATATGGAGAGATCCTATCTCATCCGAATTAAGTTCCAGCCTACGAGCCTGGGGTGATACATAGGCGTCCTGATACATGTCGGGATGCAACGGTGCGGGGTCGCCCCCCGAAGGCAACGTCAGAACCAGGAGATACAAGACGAGGTCGACGCATATATTGTCGACCCTAGCCCGGAGCTCCACCAACATATACCTGGGGGAGACGAGACAGGGACATCATTCTTTACAACATCTTCTCTGCAACCACCATTTGGTGACAGGGCATCCTTTTCACATGGTACCCCCCCTCGCTTAAATGACGACACAACTTCCTAGCACACCAGTTCGACTACAGGGGGACGTATACGGGGACTTCATATCGCATTTAACTCAAGAGGATGAGACATAAGGTCCTCAAGATCACAGAGCAGAATTGGCACGACGTAGGCCACAACGACAGATATGGGGCAGGCAGGCGATATGGGGAGTCACTACATTGTCCGAGGACAGTTTCACGAGGTTGACTCTGATTCGTAAACATTTATTTTACACACTTTTACCATTTGAGAATGAACTCTCAAGATCTTCACTTGTTGGGAAATCACCCCCATTTGGGAATGGATTTTTGAAATCCTCATTGTTTCGGAAATCACCCAACTTTTTTTAAGCGATGTACAGTTGTACACTACAAGAACTGTACACACCCGTGATAGAATTTTTTTGTCACGAATTACCGTATTTTATTGTAGACCTTGATGTACGACGAATGAAACAACTGTTTTATTTCGTCGTAAATCTCGCGTCGTAGATTAAAATTAAACGATGGATTTTAGATTCTTTCATAAATTTGCGACCGAATGTCAAGACAAAACTTGTAGCGCATTTACTCCAATTTAGAAAATTAAAAATCAATATTAACATTATTGATGGCTTGCTTTTTGTATACTCATATTTAACGGTGTGCATCGGTCTGAACCCAGACTGGGTTGGAATCGGACCGACACTGAATATGAGACTTTTCTTGAGTCAGAGACCGGGCCGTATAAAATAAGGACTAGCCTGGGACCGTACTCGCCCGGGATCGGATCAGCCTGGGTTCGAACCGAATTAGGGTACCTTTTTTAAAATCAATTTAAGGTGTCTACTTGTAAAAAAAAGTATATCTATTACGGATTTGTAATGTGTAACCCACACTAAACATTGTAAATCATTATTATTTAAATGTTAAATTTTTTAACATGATATTAACACCGTACTACAATTAAAACATGCACGTCATTTAAGATATAGACTAAAAAGTCAACAATGATTCTACTGGAGTTCTGCGTAAAACACTACAAACAAATTAAAGATGCTTGAGAGACTATTGTGGATCACAACCCGGCATCCAAATCTTACTAAAAATAGTAAAAGAGTCATTTTAAAAGGGTGTAAAAATGTTTAAAAAGTTCTTTCATTCTTCCCACAAAAAATTCATTTTTGTGATAGAAAATCAAAATGTAACACTAAATTAGTTTTAAAATATTGTAACGTAATTTGTAAAAAAAAACACTTTAATAGAATTCCTATTTTTTAAAATTGACTATTTAAAAAAGGTTGTGATAAAAATACGAGTAACATTGAATTAGTCTAAAATTTATTGTAACATGAGAAAATTATAAGAAAAAACTTCAAAAAATTGTATTATATTATTATATAGAAAAATATTGAAACAAATAAAATTTGACTGGTCCACCGGCCCGGACCGAATCCTGGTGGACCGGACCGGACCCAAACTCGAATAAGAGATTTTAGAAGCTAAGGCCGAAGACCGGAATGGAAAGAGACCAGTCCGGACCGATCTGGTCTGGTTTGTACCAGGTTTCGGCTCGGTCAGGACTCAGACCGAATAATGGACACTCCTACTGATGTTATTTGAATTTACTTAATCTGAGGGGTTTCGTTGCCTTTTGAAAAATTTAGAGGGATATTTTGTGTTGAGTTTCTAAAAATGTCATTGATATGATGAGTAAAAGCAGGATGCGATGTGTAGATTATTTGTAAAAAGATATGATGTGAATATGTGATAGGTAGGTCTAGAGTAAATAGGGGTAAAAATGAGTTTTTAATAGAAACAAGAAGAATTTTGTGAGATAAGAAAAAAAAGGGAAGAAGTTTTTGGAACGGAGAAAGAAGTATTTTTTAATAAAAACGGGGGGAGCATGTTATGAAACAAGAAATATTGGATCCTTTATCACAAAATAAATGTTGTTGTTTGATTTCATAATTTTTTTACTTCATAAAATTTAACAAAGAGTATTAAAATGCATGTACCCTGAGGTAAAAAAAAAGGAAAATGCTAGGGGTACACCAAAAGTGTATCCCAAACATCCCCCACCCCCTCCATCACCACAAAAAAAGCAATAAAAATTCAAAAAAATAAAAAAAAAATTAAAAATAAAATAAAATGGATGGTAAAGAGAGGAGTGATGTACATTTAGGGTACACCTTTTGGTGTACCCTAGCATATCCCAAAAAAACAAACGATTGAAGTTTAAATAGAGAAAAAAAATATGAGCCATACATTTCACTATTTCAGTTCTAAATAGTTTGGGAAGAAGAATATAGATCAAGAGAAATGCTAGAGTCACAAACACTTTGGTCACAAAATACACAAACTTACCATTTGTTTATTTAAATGTTTACTTATTAATTATTGAACATCATTTTATTCATTTAGTGAGGTGCACAAATAACAAGGTTGTGTATTTTGTGATCGAAATGTGTTTGTAACTTTAATAAAAGAGACTCGTAACGTAATATGTTTAGTGGAAGATCATTAGACTAACAGGACCCCACTCATTAACTAAAAAACAAATCCTCCAACAAGACGATTTGTCATTTTGATTTCTCCATACGTTTTTTCGCGATCCGCCTCATTTCCCCGCGCCACTTTTCATGAAATTTACCGGCCGGCCAGTCTTGTTTTGAATGAACAATAATACTCCTTCCGTCCACCTAAGATCTTCCCATTACGCGTTCCGAAGCTTGACTGACTTTATTTTAAATTCAACTTAATTGATTATATGAGTAAAATTTTAAAATAAAATTTTATAGTAATAAACTACATAAAAAGTTCTACAAAACTAGAGGTGACAAGATTATATTATTTTACGAAATGACTAGTAAAAATGAGTAAACAAAGTGAGTAAAGTTTGACTCTGTGAAAAGTGTCTGAGAAGATCTATGATGGGCAGATGGAGTAATACTTTTGGGAATTTCTTCCATGCCCTCGCTAATCATGTAAATAAATAAAACACTCTCCACATCATTTTAACTTTTAAAAATAACATAATAACCCCACTTTTTCCCCTTTTTCTTATCTAAGCTTTTCTTTTTAATGAAAATTTATTTCCAACATTTTTCAATTCTCTTCACTTTTTTCAATCATTTCAAGTTTATTTCAATAACAACTTAAACAATTTGTTTATTTTTATTTTTAATAATATTCCTGTTACATTCATTATAATTATAACTATAATTATAATTATAATTATTACTATTACTACTATTGTCATTATCGTATATAATTTTTTATTAATTTTTTTCTTTTGATTTTGTAATCAGATTTATTTTGATTTTTTAAATTTTTAAATTTAATTTTTTTACTTTAATTTTTTTACATATAATATTGAATATCTTTCAAGAAAAAATAATTTTAAAAAATAAGTTTTCCTAACAGCCAAGACTAAAAGCTACTCCTTTTGGCATTTCAAATTTTGGCTTTTTGGATCAAACAACCAAGTGAAAAAGTCATTAGCCAAACACCAATTTTAGTTGTTCAATTAGTCAACACCAAAATTAGTCAAAAATGCCAAAAGCCATCCGAAAAACCATTTTCCAAACACAGTCATAGTCATTTCACAAAGTTTTTTGTATTATATATTGTATCTTAACTTTGGCATTGTTTGACGAATGACTTTTTCAAAATCGGTGTTTGACTAATGACTTTTTGACTTGACTGTTTGATCCGAAAAGCCAAAATTTGAAAAGTTAAAGGGAGTAGCTTTTAGACTTGTCTGTTAGGAAAACTATTTTTTTAAAATTATTTTATTGAAAGATATTCAATATTATATGTAAGAAAATTAAAGTAAAAAAAAAATTAAATTTTAAAAATTGAAACAATCAAAATAAATCAATTGATAAAATCAAAAGACAAAAATTATTAAAAATTTATATACTATTAATTTTTTTATCAATTATATAAAAGTGAAATATATTAAATATTTAATTCTTACACGTGTGTGTGTGTGTGTGTGTGTGTGTGTATATATATATATATATATATATATATATATATATATATATCTGTGTGTGTGTATAATTTTTAAAATTTGAAACAACTATTCTCAAACAACTAATTTTACCAAACATTTTTAACGATAATCCAACACAACGAGTCGGTCAAATCATCTAAACTAAAGAGCTATTCAGAATAGCTGACACAAACAGCAAACAACCAATAAACAACATCCAAACAATGCAAGATTGTCATAACGCAAACTCTTATTTACAGAATAAAAGCATGGAATTCATATTTTAGGGATAAAAGTTATACTACGTATTTTGCATATATATGGGGTGATTTATTATTATTATTATTAGTATTTTTATTAGTATTAATTTTTTTGGTTAGAAATTTAAGAATTGGATGTTGTAATAAAGTAGAAGAAATTGGAAAAAATAGGAACAAATCAGCAGAAATTGGAAAAAAAATTGGAATGAGGTGAAAAAAACTGGAAGAAAATTTTGGAAACAAATAAAAATTTTGAAAAATTAAAAGAAATGTTGAAATGAGTAATATATTTTTGAAATTTAATATTTTTATTATAATAATTCCTTCTTTTTTTTATTTTAATCTTTTATATGTTAAACCATTTTTATTTCATACCATGTACATATTTTATAGTACCCCAGGTTATATTTTTACTCATACTTAATATTACTCTTTTCTTAAACTCTTTAAAACAATATCATTAGTACATATTTTTATTTCCTAATTTCATATATGTGTTAAACCATTTATTTCTCATTCCTTAATTTCAATGCCAATAATCCATGTACTAATGTTTTTTCATTAATCTTGTAAAAACCAAAAATTAGCATAAATAATCTGACATTATCTCAATCAACAAATAAACGAAATTATGGGTTATTCCAAAATTACAAAGAGGAATGTATATATAATAAATTAAATCATTTAACATTTGAATATTTTTTGTTGACTCTATAATGATAACTAATACTCAATATGTTTTTGTGACAAAAGAAATATTTTTGATATGAAAATTGTGTTATTACTTCAGTTCTTTATTGTATTTTAATTACAATAGTGACGACGATAATGACAATTGTAGGAATCGTAATAATT